CCCCTCAACACTCTCACACACACACACACACACACATACACATACACATACACACACATACACATACACATACACACACATACACACACATACCCAAACACACACACACACACACATAACTCACACAGTTGCAATTTCCATTTCAGGAAGCCTCCATGAGGCAGTGGACCCGGCGTCTGCTGCCGAGCAAGGGGAGGCTACCGAACGCTTATCTTACAATGCGGAAACAGAGGAAACCGGACCCTCACCCCAAGGGGAGACAAGCGCGTCCGTGAACTCCCAGGACAGCGCCGGCGGAGGAGGAGGGCGGGGCCCGGTGCTGACCTTCGAGAATCAAGCCTTTATGGCCGATGTAGGAGGCAGTGAGGGGGCGCAGTCCACGGAACAGCTGACTAGTGATGTAAGTCCGTGTCAATTATGATGACGTAGATAGTTAACGCCTTATTATAGCGTGCTCAGAACATCAGAACTAAATGTCGAACGGACAACCCCGGTAACGACCGACCGTCAAAATGCACAAGAATTGGTACGGCATTGTGTTCACACCAGACTGTTGTTGGCGGCCGAGTTCATTTTAGTAGTCCGTCCGTCCATCTTTCTTTTTCTTTTTTTCTTTTTCCTTTTTTTCAGGTTTTTTGTTCTATTACTTCCTGAAAAATCCACCATCAACGGCCGTGCAGCGTGTTGATTTCAAACATAGTCGATCTACTATCCACTCACTGCACGACAGTTGATACATAATTTATGTTTTTATGTTTTTGTTTGACGACCATTATTGGATCTTAGTGTGGAGTAGCCTACCCTTTTTCTTTTTTTTTCTCCTTTTTAAGACAAGTGTTGTTGTCATGTACAATTTTGACTGGCCAGCAAGCAACAAGTAGGCTGGTCATAAAGATGTGAAGCTACTTTTTTTACCTTTTAATATTTCTTTCTGTCTTGTCTTTTCCCTGCAATAAATTTCTTTTACTGTGGCAGCGTAGTTCTCTTTATTGAAAACAATTCATACACGTAAAACAGGAGAAAGAGGCTTAAAAAGCCGACTTGCACTTACCATCGCTTTAAAATGTTATATCTATCTTCTTTTTTTGGTTTGTGGCGACAGGATCAGACACAGAGGTTGTAAGGAATTTAAGTGATTTTATCTCAGAGTCGGAGACTCGGGGCTGAAACATTTTTTACACAGAGAAAGAGAGTCATTTGCAAATAGGAGAGAGAGAGAGAGAGAGAGAGAGAGAGAGAGAGAGAGA